ATACAACCAAAACGGTTTTAAATAAAAGCTAAAATATCTTCTGCCATAAATGCCAGTAGCGTTATGAATTTGTTTTTTGAGATTTAGCAAAAATGCATAAAACGTGTGATTAGTTATTATGTGTGGTATAGGGATATTTTGATTTTCTAACAGTTAATCGTTAAAGTGAAAGAACAAGTTAAAAATTGTATAAATTGATTTTTCGTAATTTTGTGGTTCCAATTCAATGAATTATTTATAAATGCCTTGGAAGAAAATTGTGTTTTTGTTTATTTATTGTACATCATTTCTAGGCACGTCACTTTAAACAAACGTTATGTGATGTGGAAACTAAGAATTTATTGTCATATACAGTTATTCGTTTTCTTTCGAAAATTTTAAATTTTAAACAATTACGATAAATGATTATCTTTGTTCCTTATTGAACATTATATATTTACATTATAGGTTTGATTTATTTTTACCCTTGGAATGACAATTTCCTTTGACTTGAAATTGATTATATATTTGAGTTTCATACAAACTATGAACGTCAGTGTTCACAAATCTCTGAAGGTTTTGAAGGTGTCCTGCTGGATTTCTTGCCGGTGAAATTGTGTTGGGTGATACGTCCATGGAAAGCCGCCCTACCTTTCTTTTCATATTTTTTTTTTGTGAAAGTGTTTTAAAATTGTTGTGGATATCTTAATTTCATACCGTGCAAAAATATAAACAGAGGCAAAATCAATTTTTTTGTACCAACATAATTTATTTGCCGATTGCAAAAGGAAAGGCAAAAGTTATTAGTTTTCATTTTCATGCTCAAATGCAGTACATTCTATGCTTAAGTCAACCACAATTATTAATTCAGACAGTTTGTAATAAGGTTTTTAATCATTTAAAAAGAAACAAAAAGAAATATAACTTCAGAAATACGGTAAAGACATATAAACTACCTAATTACATATGTATGATCAATTAAATCATTATCAAAAGTGATAACAAATAAACACTTTAAATGGATATCGGGAATAGACCGTGAACCATTAAAGCTTATCTCCCACACATTGAAGTTTTGGAGTTTTTGAAATAAAAGTTGTCATCAAAAGATTCTATTTCACCACGGACTCGTACATTTATATTGAAAGAGATGATAAATATGTGCATGGTTCAAGATCAAAATAACATTTAAAAAAAGTATTGCAATGTTTATCCTGTCGTAATTTTAAACCGTTGCAACGTTTCATTGCCCGTAGAACAATTAGTAACATTGTTATCATGCAATCGATTGCTGCACAATATATCATAGAATCTAAATCTATAGACATAGATAAAAAAGTAATCCGGTTTAAAACTGACATTTATAGTTAGTTCTACCTGCCTCAAGCTGTGTTACTTGCTACGTGTTAACAGGTGTGATAATGTATGTGTTTATATTTGTGTCCAGTGAAACATAAATAGAGGATATTGAATGAGAGTAAGTTCAATACTGAATTTATTGCACGAGTTGAATTAAATTATATTATGCGAGCCTTTGGTGAGCATAATGTTATTTTATTCAACGAGTGCAATAAATTAAGTAATGAACTTACACGAATTTAATATTCTATTTATCACATACCCAAAATAAAGACCGTTTCAAAATGAAAAAAGAGTCATTTTTCATTGACGCACCTAAAGTATAACGCTAACATTTAGCGCGTCTTTACACTATGTTTGTATGACGCTAATGACGTCACGTCAAAATATATGCACGGCCGTGCAATACCATATTAACGGAGCCGCAAAATCGGCACGGGTGTGTGATAACAACCGTTATGTCACAGTTATCTCTTAGAAACTGCAAATTTTACACATATGCATATTAATAACTGTAAACATGTATGATGATGTTTTAGACCCATTTTATTTGCGATAGTAGCTTTAGGAGGGCAATTTCAAATAATGCACTAACTGATTAGCGAACAAAACAGACCATGGCCAGATGGCTCGAATGGGTTGAATTGTTGCCAAAAGCAAGTGTACAGTTATAAAAGTTATCATAATTAAATAACTAAACCGTAATTATTTCAGGGACAAACTAAAATTATGTTTTTAATGAATATACCCTGATCAGACGCTAGCTCAACATTATAATTATAAACATTTAGGCAAAGTAAAGCCAATTTCATAGATTTTATTCAAAGTAAGCAAAGTAAATTAGATTATTTAAAAAAGAAGTTTATGTCATAGAGTTATTACTATATAGTAAGTGTCTTTGTGATTTGTTATTAATCTTCGGGAGCCTGTGTCACAATTATTGAAAATTATCAATAAAACAATTAAAATTATATGAAGTGTCGTTTTTTATATAAAGTCCATTTCATTAATTACCATCCATCTTACTCCATGATCTCAAATCCCGTTGTCCACCTTACATTTCGTGTTAACTATTTACTAACAATACAATCATACTAACCTGTCATCCGTAACTGAATCGCCGATGGTCAGGTGACAAATGTATGCATCGATGCAGTTGCCATATGACCATTGGTGTATTCAGTTGCATAATAAATATATCTTGGATATATATATATATATATATATATATATATATATATATATATATATATATATATATATATATATATATATATATATATATATTTCAGGTTAGTTAGTTAGTTTTTAGTTTAACTTTCTAAATTATTTTGTTATTATTAAATATTTAAGACAATAGAATAATGAATTATTTGTTACTTGTATAAGTTTAAATACTATTCTGTTTAACTGTTTTTGTAATTATTGTTTGGCAGTTGCCACATGACCATTGATGTTTTCAGTTGCATAATACATATATCTTGGATATATATATATTTCAGTGTTCTTTCTACATTGAGTCATATGAACTCATTAGAAATATATGCCGGCTGGCTACGTCGACATTTACATCATACGAAATTTTGAAAATTTTGAATTGAGTTATCTCTGCCCCTGTATTTACAGTTGATTTTTAATGTACTGCAATAAAACTATGTACGTATTATATGAGTATCTTTCTTTTCTTTTCCTTTTGCATACACCTTTTGCTTACAACTTAAACTTAAACTTAAGGCTTTGAAAATAAAACAATAAATCGATAATAAAGATTAGTTTCCATTAAAAGGAAGATTAGAATTCTGAGATTGTTTTACCTTTAACAGTGTTCTTCTATGCACATTAAAATTACATGAAAACAATATTTAAATTTGCAAAGTGACAGCCTTTTAAACGAATGCTAAACATATTACGATTTAATATCCGTAAGTAAAGTTAGTTACGATATTCGAAAATCCAATTTGCCTTTATTTGGTGCCGCGATTGTTTAAGAAGCAAATATTTTGTTTGAGTGGACATAAACAGGTACTTATTGTGTTATTTACAAATGATAATCGCTGACGCACAAGTTGTAAATACTGTTCATCTTGAAATGTATTTATCTGAATGAACTTTTTTTTTAAACGCCAATTCACTATATTATAAAATGTTCATAATTCGTCTTTAGTACTAATGAACCTATCCTAGAGACGGTAATAAAGTTTCAAGTCGTCCCATTATTAAATAACGGGTCGCTTTCAAACTACAGAGAAACGCCATATGTAGCATGTAGTAGTACAAAAGAGAATGATAATCTTATTTATGCATTTACTTCAGGTCTCAACATTTAAATGAAATTCAATAATATTTTTTCTTTATTATTATGTTTCAAAAATGATAGGTAAATTTTAAGGCACAAAATGTCAACACATTTTGAATGATTGGATGGTTAATTTGTTAAAAGATTATGTAAAATTTTCAGATTAAAACATATCATTGACTTTATAATCAGTGCTACCTCCGTCAAGTGATAATCACATCGCATGTTAAAATCCATTATTACAACATAATGAAACACATGTTTGCCTTTTGTACAGAAGGAAAATAATGATCTTTCTGTAGCTGAATATGGCTTAAAATATACTACCATTCATTACTGATGTACTGACAAACGGTTAAAACAGTTCATTTATTATCCATGCACTACTTTACTAACAGTTGCCTTTTTGTAGAAGTATCTAGTTTGATACGTAAACACGAAAAACCTCATTCAAATTGATGAATATCATTTTAGTTTGTTTAAAATTGTCTATTAAAGATACCATATACGTAACTTTAAATAAGATCCTAAATGTCTTTCAATACCTATTTTTAGACATTTATCCGAAATGTTATTAACAGATACGATCTGATCAAGCAGAGGTCTTGCTGTTTCAGTGCGTCAGAAACTGCGTATTGTAATACATTGTGTGTTTTGTTTTTCGCTTTTTTAAAGCATCCCAAATTATGTCAAATATCTTTTTCCTCATCAATAATGAGTCAAATAAAATCTTTTAAAAAGCCTTGTTTGAGTAATGATAAATGATTGAATAACAATTATTAAACTAATAACTTCGATATGTAAACGACGCGGATACTTTCTATTTGGGGGATGGAGAGAGATGGGTACTTTGCACCAACACAGTGACTTTCCAGCTTTACTTTAAAGACCTCAAGCGGCCTATTATGCAATATCAAAGCACCTTTAAAACGGGCACCTGAGTAGAACCATCGGTGCTATTATTTAAAATACGTTAGGAAATTTGCCCATTGTAGACCAATCTACTTTAACATTACAAATACAAGAACTTAAGATCTTGAAAAAGATAACAGACATAAGAATAACAAAAATCACAGACTGCTTAAATAGAGCCAAACAGAATACCTAAAGAAAGCCCCAAAAAGAGGACAGTGTTTTTAAACATACTATAACTTAAATACACGTCAAAGGACAATACCAAAAACATTAGTACAGAGCAGGGGTACAAACGTTTTTCTTTGTAGTTTCAAGTTGATATCTCAAATAAATTTTTGAATATGCTAGACAAAAATGCGGGACAGATGGACAGACGTATGGACGAACGGAAACAATGACCATAACCTATTGACTGGGGATAAAATGTTGTTTGATAGCGTAAGGGTGTGGACATGTTTTATATTTTATATATAGCTGATAGCAAACAACACATTATTAGCCAACAACATGTGGATGATGTCCGTGACCGGGTTGGAAGTTATTGTAGTACTGGCCTATCATAGTCAATGTGGAGGTATTTTGATGTAACAAACTGGCTGCTGGAGTGACAAATCCGTCCCCAAATACACGTTTTATTCTTGCAGAAAACCATGAATATCTAAAATAGAAAACAAACATAACCGACATAATCTTGTATAATAAATCATTCAAATGAATCCAAATGGCACTAATTTAGTTGTTGACAATACAAAATGCGCAATTAATTTATTAATAAGCGATTTTACAAATGGCATACTAACAGTCTATGATAATTACATACTGTTTACGATAATGTCAATAAGTGTTACATTGAAGGTTAGAAAGATAGACTACCCAGCCATGTATTTTCAAATACATGTTTACACCTAGCGTACCTGTAGACAAAAGGGGCTGCTTCTAGTTGCGGCAGTAAATTCTTCATTAAATTCAGCTGTTGGTTTTCGTCTGTAGAATGAGGGCACGCAAACTCTGTGAGCCAAATTTTCTTATTGTACCGGTGATACAGCTTCTGGAGGTACGACATTATTGCATTGGCATCGCAGTTATACATGTGTGCAGCAATAAAGTCGATACGGCAGCCGTGACATAATTTAAAGAAGGCATCATACCACCAAAATGCTGCACCTGCCGTTGTTGGACTGACAAGTTTTGCGCCATGTGAGTTTTGTTCCAATAGTGGCCAGGCATCAGCAGCTTCCTGTGGTGTCATATCAGCTTGATCCTTGTGATTTGGCTCATTAAAACCCAACACATACGGGCCCCAGGTTTGTATATGAAGCTGCGTGTGGTTATTATATTTTTTCAGCATAGGTATATGTGGAGGAACAGGCCATCCGTTAGAATGGTCACAGACCTTCCCGACTTTCTCATAAAAGAAGTCCATATCCTGGTGCCAATCATACCTTTTTAAATGACAAGATTATACAAGAGTAAAGTCAAAGCGGATATATTTAAAAGTTAAAGAAACAAATCCATGGCAAACTCGGTTTTGTTTCACCCTATTAATTATGGAGGGCGTTCGTTGCCGAAATTCCAGACATGTAAAGCGTTCCTTCTGAAAACTACTATTGAAAAAAAGCGAACTTGCATGTCTTACTTACAGTTAGATACTGTCCACGATACATGTTTATGCAAATCTCAATATTTAAAGAAAAGTACATTTACTTCAGAATTTAAAAAAATCCGCAGATTTGTTAATCCGTATTGTATCATAGTTTGGGGACCTTTCTGTTGAAAATGTGTCACAGTTAAATCTTATACATAGACATGCACAGTGCGTTAACTGGAGTGCAGTTATAAGTTACCCGCACTCCAGAGCATGTCCATTGATTGGCTCATTTTTTCTGGGATTTACTTATTGTGACAGCAGAGAAAAGGGAAAGCGACAGAAATATTATATTCGGATGCTCATTCATTGGTTCCTTTTTTCTGAGGTTTCATATTGCGACAAAAGGGAACGTGTTTTAATGTTTGACTATGATACAAAAGAGAAAGAACATCAAAACACTCGGCAATCTGACTAATACACGGGGGCTACGCCCCCTCGTACAAATTAGATAGCCTCGTGTTTCGATGCTCTTTCTATTACTTAACTTTAATATTAAATTTCTATGGAATATTTCCTTTATTTCTAAAATTAGAAAAGCATAGAATCTCGTTTATTACATACTCGACTAATATACAATAAAAAACCAGGGACTCTTTAAATCAGGATGTTAGTAAAATATCTTACCACCATGACATGTTGTTCAGAACTTTGAAGTCATCACAAAGAAGATTGCCAGGATAAGCTGCAGTACCCTTTTTGAAAGATGCTTGTACTGATATAAGGAGGGAAAGAATACCAACCGATACTAGTAGCGTCATTGTTTCCAGTCAATACTTTTAATTTGTTTCTTTTACCATTTATATACTTTCCCAATTACGGTCCACCGTGTGTACTTGGTGATGTATGTGCCCGTTGTCATCGAATTTGCCGCTGTGACTTTCCTTATATGATATTTTGATTATTTTGTAAACAATTGAAAGGGCTATTTTTAGATATGCAGAGCGAAAGTTAGTTTAATGGACATTGGTCTAAAGGTTCAAAATTATTGAGGTAACTGAACACTTACCAGAATTTCTAAGTTTGCAAAATAATGAATCACTACTCTTGATAAGCTTTTGTTCTAAACAGTTTTAAGCTTTCCGTAAACATAGCTCATGACTAGAACGCTGTTGTTATTAACTCAGGGAAAGTAAATTAGCGACTGACTTCTGGCATAGTCGTCTTGACTTTAAAGTGACATTATGCCCATCCAAGGGTATATAGTGAGTGAACGGGTGAAGATCAAAATAAGTTTTCATTTTGCCATAATTCCTTTTAATTTAATAATTAAGTTCACATAAACAATAAATAACGCACAGATCCAAACGAAATTTCTGTAAATATCCATTAGAATTTACCTATAACGCTTAGTTTATAAAAAGAGTGGGGCAGTCTTTTTATATTTTAGGCAGATTTATAATTTTATCCTAAACATTTTCCAATATCAACTGTTGGTCAAACACCATTTTGACAGTCAATCTTTTGAAATATAAAGTCAATTCAGCTCAACTTGACTATGAAAATATGAGCATAATGTCACTTTAATATATAAAATTTTTTGTCTACAATTAACAGCTGAAGGAAAACGCCTACAGATACAGGCAACCATCATTGAACGCCAATAGGATTTTTTAAAGTAATTATGTCGATGAATATCTTAAATAAACTTGCTAATCTTTGTCAAAAATAATAATATAATAACACATGATGGAGCTACTGGTATGGACTAGAATTCTATAGTGTTTATAGAGGCTAGATCTATATTGCTTTAACTTAAGTGTTTCGATTTTCACATGAATATAACTTTCGTTATATAGACTTTTGGTGCATGACATAATGAAAATGTAATGTATACCTACATCTTCTTAAGTATATCGTCGATTTCTTTTATGTTTAAAGCTAAGAAAAGTCTGCAACAGTTCCAATTTCTTTTGTCGATTTTGGTGTTCTTCGGGGATCCCGTTTTTATCTTTATGGATTCGGAATTGAATGAATTTTAGTTTTCATTATAATGACTTCGAGACAAAATATGTAAATCAGATCGGAAGATAGACACATTCACAAGAAATTATTCATGGAAAAGGTACTTTTGAAAAAAAATTGTTAAGACTTCTACTATATGTTCATAGGTGATTAAAGCATCAACATGAAACAGTGTAAATAGCTAAAAGAAATGTTATAGATGATTAGTACTATGTAAAATTACCAACGTGTAACTGCGACACTTTTGTAGTTCGGTGACAATATATTGCCAGTATTGCAATGTTAACTGTTTACCAGGTACATTGTTATATTGATATCAGAATGACTTTGACATAGTCATTGGAGCTCGGCTCGAAGCAATCTATTCTTTCTAAGCTTTGATTTCTGTTACCAGGGCTGATAATTATTAAGGTTACATAGTTATTGTTCTTAAATAAGAAACTGTGTCTGGCCTAACATTACAATTTTCTGAATTCTGGAAAGATTAATCAAGAAACAACATAATCTAAAACTACTTACTGTAATTTTACCACATAAGATAGAAGCATGTTGACCTATTATAGGGTATTACGTTGACAATAAAGATTTAACATGTCACCCGTGCAATACTAACAACAATAACACAAACGAAAAGAGTTTGCCTATTGCATATAAGTCATATTTTATGTTTCTGCATCCCGTTGTTCAGCATATAGGTTTTTGAGCAAAATCTCCTAGCACTATTTTGTACTTTTAAGCTTTTAATATAACTGCATTCGCACTCAACTTGCAGCATATTACAAGACCACACTGGAATGACAGTTATTACAGTGTGAAGACATGACTATGATTTCACCTTTAAGACTGATTTAGTTACGTTATGTCAAAATGTTAAATGTTATACCGACATGTCATAATGTTAAATGTTGAACCGAAGATGAACCGAGATTTAACATCAAGTTATCTTCAAATTTTGTTATGCTTACTCAATGCCTTTTATAGAGGTCATAATGTGAGATTTTTTGTTCATTTTAATTATGATATATAGCAAAATAGTGTGGTATGACAATTTCAAATACGTAAAGAGACTTGATAACCTTTTCCTAGATTTATAATATAAATGGTATATCTATTTTATCACAATTTTAAATCAATATGGGAAAAGTACTCGTAACACCAGATTAAAAATGTATGAAACAACTCTGCAAGGAAGTGCTCATTTACTGACGAAACAAATTCGTTAACTCGATATGATAATGCCTAGCGTTTCGTTAAATATAAAGTACATGTATACGTTTTTGTTAGTAGGTAAGAGTTCTTTCAAAACCTAATGAAGATGAATTTAGAATATTCGTTAATGGCTGTACTGATTGTGCGACAAAGTATTGTAAATAGGTTTTTAAAGTACGAGTATAACTAAAAAATTTTCACCAATGACCGACTTTCCATTTATAGCTCCTATGTGATAGAGTAAGTCAACCTTTTAAATTTTCAACCGATAACGATTTATATACATGTATTTTCAGAAGATTTTTTGATCAGTAGCGATTTATACGTTTATGCGGCCAAAAATGAGATAACCTTCAAGTTTAAAAAAAGCGAATGGTTGCACTGATAAAAGACTTCTGTGTCATGATATTAAATGGCAAATTAAATGGTGTCTATTGTTAACATAAAAATTATTACGTCATTATTTTATTATCAAATTATATACAAGTATTATTATCTTTTAACGGCAAAACATTCTTAAAATCTTAACCTCAGAAATATTTATTGAATTTCTAATATTTTCATTCCGACAGGACGGTATTTAATTTGTCTTTCCTAAAGTTATAAACATATCTACCATAAAAAGAGTGCATCGGAGACATAGAAGAACTCGTGTCATGTACCACAAATAAGGAAATAAAATTAAGTAATTTGTGACTGGTACCAAACTCATTACATAATAATTGTTTCCAGATACCAATAATTTGACAGGATGAGAATATGTACCTGATCAATAAATTAAGAATGAATACAAGTAATCTTAAAGTTTTACTACATTACGCATACGAAAGAAGAAAATAACATTAAATGGTAATATATATTACATGTATTTTGATGATGCACATACAAGATTTTTTTTTATAAAGAAAAGAATATTTTTGAAAAAAAAAAGAAAAACAGGAAGACGAAAAGGTAATCAACAGGGGACAGATGTCTCAAATATAGAACTATAACGGTTATATGTTTGACTATTAAATGACTATTTGTCTTTATGATGTAATTGTGTATATGAAAAGATCATTTTAATTTTATCAGAAGGGTCTTGGTTGCCTTAAATAAGTCAACATTATTCCAATTGCTAAGTCTTTTTCTTCGAGCGATGTCAAATTGTGTACATCCAAACAAAAATAGTGAAAATTATTTTCTACTTGTCTAGAAAGACAAAATGGCGATGTTTTTTCCTAATCAAATGGTAGTTTAGAGAGCTACTCGTTGTACTAGGTCTCGTATGAAGAACTTGAACTTTTTATTCACAGGAACAAAAAAAGGAAGGCGTGTCACGTTTGTTCATCGTATCACGAAAGTGTTACGAACATTGTGTGGACGATTGTTCTGTTCGGAAAAAAATCAGTAACAATAAAGTGTGGTTCTGGCATATATTCCCGGAATGTTATTGATATTCCATAGTTTTTACCGATTATTAGCTTCTGTATACACATTTTAAGGTTTTTAAAAACAGAGTTGTAAGCTTAACAACTTCTTTAGATGATCTTAATCGGAAGTATTAGTTTTATTATAAGCAGCAAAAAATAAAGAATGCTACGGACTGCGTCAAGTAAAAGTTACTCCCCTTGTTGATCTTTCCTTTCATATATTTTATTACCAGCTGCTTGCTTGTGATAAATACTATAAATATAATAACATTGTCAATGTTTTGAATATAACATAAATTGTAAAAGAGATATTTGTTTCCATTTCATTATGTTGACGTCAAATTATGCAATGCAATATTTATTTGAAATTGCCTGGTTTTTCAAAATACATGTTAGATCAGAACAGAACATACATTTTATTTTAGACTTGCACATACACCGTAGGGAACGTGTTACGGTATCGCGCTTTCCGGTTACAGTATAGAATTTTCAAGATGGAGGATTATTTGTGGGGAAGACCGGTAGGTGATTTTTATTCCGGTCCATACTACAATTAGTTTAGTTTCTAAAAGATGTTTTTGTCCTTTGCTTGTAAGGAACTTGATCCGGTACTAAGTCATATACTCCTTCAGACTCTGCATCGCAGTATTATCTCTATATTGTCTCATAAATGTGATGATTTGACAGATTGAAAATTCAAATCGAGAGACCAACGCATTTTTCTCCAATTCCGACATTATTTAAGAATGCCTAGAAAAAGTGAACCTACAAAACGTTAGTCCTTTAGGTTTAAAAACGTTTATAAAAGTAAATGACCAGTTGAACATTTTTTCCTGTTCGTCAAATGCCTTTGAAAAAATAAAAAAAATATTACAGTATAGAGCGAGGTGTATTGTGCAGTATAGACCGAGCGACTTTCATCTTATTTAGTTACAGTATATAGCCAGATTTCGGTTACAGTCTAGATACAGAAAGGTCGTGTAGCCATTATTTTTATGAAATAACCCACACCTTTCTTTTTAATATATTCTTGAAGGGTTGATTTACATTTGTCTTCAATAGAAAAGTTATAGTTTGCTATTTTCAATCTTTAGTTTGCTAGTTACAACGTATATATACGGAACATGTACATTATATTACAATGTATATATACGTTTTGAATTAATATTTCAAAAAATTATGTACTGACGTTGATTCAAACAACGTATTGTTTCGTTTCAAATAAATTTGATTAGAAAGGGGAAATTTCAAAAAAATGTTCCTTGAATATTCCATGTATCAATGCAATTATTCAATAGAAACTTTGATTTAAAACAACTGTCTTCGCTTTGATGTTCTTTAACAAAAGGTATTTTAGAGTATTCTTATCAATATATTAAAATATGCTTGCATGATAACTTTTAATAATACTAAATAGTTATAGTAAAGTATGCAGAACTTCTTAATGTTCATCAGTTTTATATTTCTTATCTTAGAAGTTTTCTTTACTTCAAATTGAAGACTAGAAGCTTCGGATGACTTAAAGCTGCATACCTCCAGATTAATCAAAATATTTCAAGAAAATCAAACTTGAGAGAAAGTACTTTGATTTATAAAAACAATAAAAAGATTCAAGACTAAAGTAATAGTTTCTATGTAATCGACGATTTGTGACCGATTTTACATTATTTTTTACCATATTTCTACGCAGTTCGGTTATTTTGCATATTTTGACCGCTTTTTGCTGATTATCATTGGTTGTAAGTGCTGTTTCCAACGTGAAACAATTTCTTTGTTCACTTGACAGTATTTTACTTTTAAAACATTTTCAAAATTGTCATGAAAATTTGCATGAATGTGGAGACGTGCTGCTTTAAAATGATATTATTTCAAAGTACCTGGAGAACATTTCAAAGCTTATATTTAACAGATTTGAAGTGAAAAGGATCATAATTAGATGTAAGTATTACCATAGATATAAATGTTGATATATTTAAGTATCATACATGACAACGAGGAATTGATACAAATGTTGTTAGTGTGACATACATTACTCGATATGACATACCTTTACAATGCAGGAAATAAATTGTTCTAAAATAAAATATTATTATTCCTTATTATGATTTCTATTGTTTTTATCAATATTTGAAACACTAATGGAAAATGTGGCTATTGTAAACTAGTCCACTTTAACCAGACCACTTTAATATTGATTACTCCTCATAGAAGAGTCAATGATATTTAATAATTCCGCTTATCTGTCACTTTTATTAACATTATTCACATTCTTTGTTTCTAAATGGTTATGCACTTTAATGTTTTTATCATTTCAATTATCAAATTTGAACCCGACTTGAACGATAAATAGGTTGAAAAAAGTTGACTGGTTTTGAAATGTTCAAGAGTTTTAAAATACATTTATTTTATCATGCTGTGCTTAAAAATGTCACATAACCATTTTCTTCCCTATTTAGATGAAAACACTCCACAATCATAGTCATCTATGGTACTGCTGTAGAATTGTACATTATAAGTTTTTAAGGCAGCTAAATCGTCACTAATGTTTTTTTTATTGATTTTCGGTTTAAGGCATTTAGATAGTTTGACGGTATTTGATTTTGAAAGATTTTAAACAAAAAAGATGGATAATTGTACACCGCTTTTTGATAATACATTGTAATGCAGGTGAGACTGTCAGTGAGCAATTTTGTTAAGTGGTTTTATTTACTATTCAGTGCATTGTGTAGGTCGTAATACACTTTATCTTGTATACATACCTTTTAAAATTGAACGCACACATTCCCTAGTTGGCAATTCTTTCTGTTTAAAGTGGTTAAGATTTAAATCTTGACAGTCAATATAAGATACCAGATTGTATTGCTTTTGAATACAAGAACATATAATTGCATTTGTAATCTAGGGTGCTGTTGCAATCCTCGGGCGAAATAAACTTTCTACGAGGCAATTTATCTCGGTCCAAATGGTACATTGTCTCTCTCCGCGGATTCGGAAAGCATGTGAAGTAAGTAGGCAGTATTCAGCTGAGTAAATTGTCATTTCTTGTAAGTTATTCATAAAAGCCGCTTATATGGACCTACTGCCGAGATATAACCAAAAATGTGCAAAAAATCTGATTCCATACCAACCAAACATACATACATGTAATTGCATTTTGCTTGACATTGTTCATTAATTAAGTTAATGAACATTTCCAGAATGATAATGGAAAGTGTAATCATATCTCTGACACCACTAGATTCTTCGCAATCAGTATTAGCCATCGTCATTAACATTTTAGAATTAAAGATTTGTTAAAGGTTACTGATATAGTAATCAACAGTTTTTTAGATATGGTGTTTTAATGTTTTTATAAATAAAATATGTTTTAAAGTTTTTATAAATAAAATACAACTATCAACAATACTGAAAGGAAATAAAATTGAAGTATCATCAGCCAACAACTTGTAGTTGACCGAGTTCGAAGTAAATAATATTGAAGTATCATCAGCCAACAACTTAATGTTTTTTCAAGTTAAATACCTGTAAACAAATGGAGCAGCTTCCAGTTGCGGCAGTAAATTCTTCATTAAGTTCAGTTGCTGATTTTCATCGGAAGAATGAGGGCAAGCGAACTCTGTGAGCCATATTTGCTTATGGTACCTGTCATACAGCCTCTGAAGGTACGACATTATTGCATTGGCATCGCAGTTATACATGTGTGCAGCAATGTAGTCGACACGGCAGCCGTGGCACAGACTAAAGAACGAATCATACCACCCAATTTTTGCACCTGCCGTTGCTGGACTGACAAGTTTTGCGCCATGTGAGTTTTTTTCCAATAGTGGCCAGGCATCAGCAGCTTGTTGTGGTGTCATGTTAGCTTGATCCTTGTGATTTGGCTCATTAAAACCCAGCACATACGGGCCCCAGGTTTGTATATGAAGCTGGGTGTGGTTATGATACTGTTTCAGCATAGGAACATGTTGAGGAATTGACCATCCGTTAGAATGATCACAGACTTTCCCGACTTTTTCATAAAAGAAGTCCATATTTTGGTGCCAGTCATACCTAAACAACACAATGATACAAAGGAAAATTTAAAACGGGCATTTGAAATACAATTACATGTACGAGTATATCATTATACAAGAACATCAATGTTCTGCTGGGCTCCTGGTCGGTAGTCCTGTGTTTGTGTTGCTTTCATTGAATGTCGCCTTTCGTTTTGTTCATTATTGATTTGTCCTTTATCTTATTTAAAGAATAATATCATAGACTTCTTAAATACAAACGCCGGTATATTAAAAACAAAACAAGGGATATGTTGCAGTATGCATGTAAATTTCTTACCACCATGACATGTTGTTCAGTACTTTGAAGTCATCACAAAGAAGACTGCCAGGCCAAGCTGCAGTTCCCTTCTTGAAAGATGCTTCTGTTGAAATAAAAAGCGAAAGAAACCCAACCGAAACTAGAAGTGCCATTGTGCCCGCTGTTATCAACTCTTTAATCTATTTTTGTTCTACAATGTACTTATATACTTATCATATTGAATTTCACCCTATGTACTTGCCTACTTGGTGATGTTTGTGTTAATTATTTGATGTTCAGCAGTTACAAATTATATTTTGATTATTTTGTATACAGCTGGTCACTGTTTTAATTACTATTGTTGATTAAAAATCATGTTAATATATCAATTTATTGACTTGCGCTTGGTTTTGCATTACATTGCTTTCAATATTCTAACAAACAGAGATATTGCATTACACATAAAAAGTTCATTCTGTTATGATTTGCTTAAAAACTTGATTGGGGGGGGGGGTTATAAGCATGAGAACAATGTTCAACAACATAGGGCGACATTCATTGATAGCTTCCCTCAATAAAACAATAACGGAGGAAAACCTGCAAATAGTCGATCAGGGTACTAACCTATATTAGGGGAGGTTACGGACATCAAATAGATAAAGCAATCTGTAAAATGTCAGGGTAATAAAGTAGTGAGAAACGGAGTCCCTAAAAACGCCAAAAGACCGTTGTGCCAATTCATAAAAAGCGGCGAATGTTCTCCAGGTATAAGAATGTAAAAAAATATATTTAAGGCGTAGCATCACGTTTTGTTAAAAAACAATGATTTTGTTAGCTTATGTGCACTAAATTTTAAAATAAATATTTGGGTTTTAACTTAAAAATGAACATGCAAATCCTATGATTCATTACAGAAGATAAACTCGTATTTTGGACACGACTGCTCCATGTTAAATAGCGTGCAAATTTGTAAAACAATCGAAATGTAACAGTTGTTTTATATAAATCATTTGTTTAAATCGTATTGCATTATAATTAAGGATATAGCATATTTCAATCACATACGGAAATGACCGATTATTCAGTGCGATTTGGTGATTACGATATGACCGTAAGACTTATTTAGTAACATAACAAAGTTGACTTAAGTTAAACATTACTATAGTTATCATCAATTCAATGTGTTCATCGTCAATGACTTTTTTTATGGTCAAAGTTTGTGACTTGACTTTTTGTTCGCTGTGATATATAACAAAGTGACGTGTTTACTTATTAGAAAATTTCTGATGCGTAAAAAGAATGTCTATGGTACACGTTAAACTTAAGGACACATGCATTGTATTTCACGTATCAAATTCTAAAAAAAAGGGTTGGTAGAAATAGATGAAAATATGTATAACACAACTCTTTCAGGAAAGGTCAATTTCAAAACACCAAGAAGATAATATTAGAATATTCGTTTGGTTGTACTTATGACTGTATATCATGTATACTTGTAAGCATTATATACAAATAATTTCTACCAATGACCGACTTTCGTTGTATTGATACTGTATGCAAAAGTAATCTAACTTTTGGAATATACAAGAGAAAACGGTCTAGATACTTACATTAAAGATTGTGATTGTAAGAGATAAGTAAATGCAGCCAACGAATTAAGATAACCTAAATGTTCAAACTAAATATAGACAATAGTTGTTCTTTTATCAAAGTATTATCCTAATGGTTTTTAAGAGTCTTGCTATTCCTTATTTAATTGAATTCATAATATCAAATAATTATCTCTTAACGGGAAAACGTCCTTAACATTCCGTGCAGACATATTTTTACTAATAATGATGGTTTTAGTACATGATATAATTAAAAAAACGTATGAAATTTAACTCTCTGGTGTTAGCCTGAAAACAGGATAAATTTTGTTTGGGAGTCCGAGTGAGAGCATTCAGGAAAAGGAAAACTTCATCTTGATTCTTGGACTAAACATAGCAGTAAACATTTAAATGTTTTTAACTATATCAACTACTAAAGCCACTCTTTGGTGCGCTAAGTTATATCTTTGATATTCTAACGATTTCGTAGTCGATGGGTTGTTTACAAAAACAAAAACAGTCTGATTGCGAGCATTTTGCAGGTGCGCGATGACGTAGTTTCCTGCAATTGAAAAATGTAATATATAACAACTGTTATTCTTTTTTAAGTTAAAGCGAGGGAATAATATAAATGGAAAAGTATAGACATAATTTCATATTTCATGAATGACGAACATTTATGTTACATAATGAAATAAGTACAAACAGAGGATACCCCCATTTTCTATAACAAAGTTGAGTTATTCTAGACCATATCGATGGAAGAAATTAACCCCTAACGAACGCCCAAATCGGCAAAAACGAAAGCGATAAACACTCGGTTTGATAACGCCTTTACATGGACAGTTCAAGCTTCAGTTGATGACACCTAGCCCAGCTAACTCAAAATTCAACATTTCACTAGGAAAGGTAAAATTGGAATGTAGAAACATCCGTAGAAACAAAACTGTCCACATTACCTTGTATAATAGTGATAAAATCCATTTTTGTCATTTATAAGAATTTATTCTACATTATTTCATAAAAACTACGTAAACAATAAAAGGTGCATTAAATAATATAATAAAGCAGCGAGACCCCGCGCCGTTGTTACAGCTTCTTAAAGAATACAATTTTAAGTTTTAAACAAGGTTTGTTACCCTGCCGGGTGACTACCGATAGCCCTGTGTGGCTGACTGTCATAAGGGCTGCATTTAATAATGTTTCGTTCCCTTGGTGATGTTTCCTGTCATGATTTAAAGAACTAAAGAAATTTTACCGCAAATATTACAATTTTCTTAACAAAATAGAGACTGCAGACGTAACGTGTTATAATGACCCTGAAACAAATAACATTCCAGCCAATGGAAATGCAGCTATAATTCCGCCACCAAAGAAGGCGCACTACTATCATCAAGTGATTCCCAGTTCAAAGATAATGTGTCCTCATAATTGCCAGTTCATTTACTTTAATTACTTTAACCAATTTCTGTATACAATTTAAGCCAAAAGCCATTACTTTTTGAAGCAATTTTCTGTCTCGTATGTCGTCGTTTAAACTAGCGTCTGAAAGGGATGGAGGTTATGTTTTTATGGAAAACAAATTCAGTGTTATTACATTACGAGACCTATCATCTGTTCGCTCCATTTGAAAGACGATGTCAGACTTTAATTAATTAAAAAGTGTTTACAAATGCCTTATTATATTGATATTTAACTATAAAATTAATGTAAAACATAATAAAATATACAGTGACGTCAATTTAGCACAATATGAAGAAAAATGACACAGTGTGTATGCATTTAAAAACACACACAATGGCAACTTGTTGCTTTATTTAGAAACAAATCGAACAATATTAATTACGTATTCTTTTGTTACTTTTCTCCTGCTTGAACTTTATATCAATCTGTTATTTTTAAGGTTAATATCTACCGGTAATATATAATTACATAACCATGTATCGTTATCGACTTTTGTAGAGGTTAACGGTATTGAGATTATTTCCTTATGTATCCGTCGTTAATAAAAAATTAGAAAAAAAGCATTGCTTTGATTGTCCTTGTTACGGAAGTACATGGGGGGCAATACGATTTTATTTTATTTTCCTATCTCGTGGGCACGAGATATAACTCAGAAAAAAACAACAAATTTTGCAATCTCGTGGCCACGAGATATAACTCAGAAAAAAAACGAGAAACAAATGCCATCTCGTTCCCACGAGATACAACTAAGAAAAAAAATGGCTATCTCGTTGCCACGGGATATAACTCAGAAAAAAATGGCTTTCTCGTTCCCACGAGATATAACTCAGAAATAAATTAAAAAAAAAAATCGCTTTTTTTTCTGAGTTATATCTCGTGGCCAAGAGGCAGAAAAATAAAATTAAATCGGAATGTCCCATCTGTGCTTCCGTACCTTGTTGTTTAAATAAATAGATATCACGTTGGTATGATTTTCGCTCACCCTATGCTCGATTTATTTGGTAAATATGTTTTTTGTTTAACTATTACCGTTTGACGGGTGTATTGTATTGGCTGTAGTTAAAGGAAACGTTTATTTTGTCACATTTGTACAATCGTAAATATAAAGACTGGTAGAATATAGATTAGGAAATGAGCATTTTGAATTATTTTTGAAAATCCGTGCCTGTGCCACGAAGGAATATCAGAACTACTTGAGTCAGTGTCTTAAAGGAAAATAACGTAGACATGAGAAAAATATTCCAATTGTCGGAACCCGGGTCCAGCCTTAAATAAAGCAGTAAATTAATAAACATATAACGTGTACTCTACAAAGGATACAGCTGAAATTGGAAAATTTTGCCTGGAAAATGGTCTTTCTAAGACTGTGAAATAATTCTGTAGTACATTTCCTAAACTAAACGAGAGTTCTCGAAAGATTTAAAGAGGTATCTGTAAATAGAAAACGGAAGTTAGAACTCCATGATGTAACTTAAATACAGACAAAGAAAAGAGACTGACCGTTCACTTCTAACTGAAACTTGTGGCACAGTGACCTTGTCAAAGTCTTGGGCCAAGTCCAAGTTTCTTATGCGTCAAATGAACTTTGTTAAACGAAAGGGAGGTACTGCCAATAAGGCTAATAAAGCTTAAATCTTCAACGAATACATGATACAGTCAGCAAGCATGATATTCCAGCATGTATGCTCATCAATTAGGATCACTCTGGTTTGAACCCAGTACTCGTATCAGAGTGGACAATGGACATCGAATGTGCTAAAAGAGTCCAAATCTCAGGCTTTGGAGACAAACGACAATTCACAGTCGTATAAGCAGGTACACTGTTACCGGAAGTAATGTAACATCAACAAATCTTGATACGTTGTCTGTTTTTTATAAGTTAATTGTGTTCAAATATCTTTATTAAAAAGCAGAAATAAAACTAATCAATGCGAGAAGGATGACACCGCAGTAATAAGATACGCAGATATTTAAAACCCATTTTTAAACAAAACTTGCAGAATATTAAGCTCGCAGAAATCAGTACTTATACCTTATTTTACAATATGTTATTCATGTGTGTAAAATATTTTTATGTCATTTCGTGATACATCTCCTTCAAGAATCAACAATACAAATAAAGAACAAAACCACAATTTCTTTTTAAA